TTCTTTCAAAGAAATCTTAATGTGTTAAGTAAGGAGAGTGTTACATAATCTTCCCATCGTAGGTGGACAATGTGAGCTTCAGAGGAGTTGGATTATTACCCTAGTTTTCTTAATATTTTGCAGAGCTTAAATTTGAGTTTAGGCATTTTGTTTATAGAACTAAGAGTATATTTCATTATGTCTGTTCTATGTTTATGTACACATGATGCTTTTTCTGTATTGTTTTGGAATGATCACCTCTCTTTGTTCTTCTGCCTAAAGCAAAAATAAAGAAAACTATTTTTCATCAAGAACTTGCCCAAACTTTGGCATCCCGATGTAATGTATATTAAGCTTTGTGTATGGTTAGCCTTCTAGATACAAAGAAAGCTTACTGATCTATCCCATCTTTTGCTAGAATAGAATGGCCTTCCTTTTCATATATGCATGCAGACACACACACACAGGGTACCTCAAAAAGTTCATGGAAGATTCACATTATCTTTTAATTCAATTTTTCCTTGAACTATTTGAAGTGCCCTCATCTATTATATGTGTATTTATATATTTATATGTGTGTATGTGTGTGTGCATGTGTATTTGGAGAAGAGTAGGGGAATTAAATATATTTTACTATTAAAGTTGCCACTACAGATTTCTTTTGGTTAGTTTTTACCTGGCTATACCTTTTTCTATTCGTTTTTGGGAAACCTTTCAGAATTGTTTTGTATTATGTCCCAACTAACACATTTCTGGACTTTTGTTTTTTACCCATTGTGAGCATCTTCTTTGGCATTTTAATTCCAGGTGATTATAGGTGAACTTTCTTTAGTTTTGTTATAATTTACTGATTGCTTAGATTGCAATAATTAGTATGTTCTGGGACATACCTTATTTGCCTTATCTTGTTGCTTCTTCCTTAATTTATTTTTCTTCTTATTCTAAGAACTGCAGTGGAAAGGCTTAGTGCTCTAGTCTGATCTCAACCACTTTTCTCCTGCTCCTTCAAAAACAGTGCCAAAAAACCCAAAGGAAAACAAGCACCCACTGGTGGTGCCACATACACACATACCTATACATATCTCTTAATACTACCAAGCCAGGCAACTATTCACTGTTGCCAGTTCCTTTGCTCTTTATGTCAGTTGGAAATAGGGTGAGGCTGGGTAAGAGCAATCTGACTGGAGCTGGTTGCTACTGACTCTAACCAAGCTTGTCTCATAAACCTTATTAATTAAATGTATACTCTGATTCAGGTATTGTATTGGGTGCTGGAACATAAAAATGAAAAAGATGTAATACATAATCTTAAGGGATTTTCATCTTATTGTTGTTAATGGGAAATTAAATTGGCATTTATAGTAACGTGAGGTAAATTCTATGATGGAACATGCCCAAAGTATTATGGGAACACATAGAAAGAATCCACCACTTCATTTCTGGGGAAGAAGAAGAATTGTCCAGTTAAAAGAATGGTTTAGTTTTAGTCCTGATGGATTTGTTGTTGTTGTTGTTAATCAGATAGCAAGGATTAGAGGAAAGTAGAAGGGAGGAACATTTTAGGTAGGGGGGCAGGTGTTCCAATGATGAGTCAAATCAGGTTAGTGATTTGTCATGGCTGTTATTGCCATTTTCCATGTGAGATAGCATTGGCAAGATAATAGAGGGTAAAGTGGAGTGGGGTAAAATGTTGTAGATTTTTAAGAAGCATATTAATATGATTGAACTTACATTTTAGTAATATTTTGCTGTATTATGGAGAATGAATTGACATGAGGTAAGGCTGGAGCCTGAGACCCAATTAGATGCTGTTAACAGTAATTTAGGTAAGAACAGAGAGCAGCGCAAAATAAGTTAGTGGCTGTGAATGTAGAAAGAAATAGTTAGATATAAATGATAATTAAGGATATTGACTAGCCATGGCTCTGTGATTGATCACATTTTGTAGTGAAGAAAAGGGAATATATCAACAATAATGCCTTGTTTTCTCTTAGGAATGACATTCAAATACTTACTTTGTAAATATCTTTTGACTTAAATAATTACCTGGAAACAGCACAGCAGGAGCATACTTTTCCTTTTTGTTTTAAATGAGTTTCTTATTCTTGATTCTAAAGCACAAGCACATCAGAAAATTGGGAGATTTTCCTAAGTTTATGACAAGGTGAATTGATCGCAGAACCTATTCTGAAATGGGGATATTTATAGTCTTTGTCTACCCCACCTTTTGGGGACAGTCATACATTTCTTTCAGAATTATTAATGTGTTTGATAATGAGATGTTGCTTCAGATCCCACTGGAGGTGTTGTATGACATATGGTATACATATGCTTCTTATTACCTCTCTAAAATCCAGAATATTCTAATGAAGCATGTCTAGCCCCAGTGGTTGTAGATAATGAATTATGAGCCTGACTTTGAGCATTTTTAATTCTTTTCATATTGTACTATTACTTTCTAATAACTATTATGTTAGGGAAAATGAAGTAGATGTGTATTGTATAACACAACTCCAAGATAGACTCCCAAGTGAAGGAATAAAACAGGGTATATAGTATGCTTCTGTTTATGATTTAAAAACACAGGAAGGGGGTATGTGTGTGTACACACATGTATTGTTAAGATGCTTCACTGTATGTGTTATTCTTTTTCTTGCGTAAACTTTCAGCTACACAGATAACTGTAGAAAAATGTCCTGTGAAAACTTAAATTTGTTTGATTTCCAGCTTAATAAATGTACTAATTTTGTAGTAATAAATTTTAAAATAATTATTTATATAGATAATAACGTTCTCTCAAATCTTATAATAATTTATTTCTGCCACTTAAGATTAGTATTGCAGTGACAGTAGAGATTGGATAATGAATTTCAGAAACTGTTAGGTTTCTAAACATTGAGTGCATAGTTTTGCCGAGATGCAACACGCAAGCAGATAAGAAAAATGGCAAAAGAGGAGTGTTAATCAGTAAAAGTTGGACTTTGTTCCTGCCATGTCAGTTTTAACTATGAGATCACAGGTTAGAAGCCATGAACACAGTTTTCCATCAGAACAGAAAGGAATAAAGGTAGGAAAAATTGGAAGACAGTAGAGCAAAATGTGGATAATAAATACATTTTTGGCAAGAAAAAAACAGAAAGCAGAAATAAAAAGAAAGTTAAGAACCTTCAGAAAAATGGAGAGGTGTGAAGAGAAGTTTAAAGATCATGAATACAGTAATGTTTGTTGTGGAGTTTTCATAATTGCCTTCTGCAGCGTGGGAGAACTATAGTTTCATGTTAAAAAAAAAAAAAAAAAGATAAAGCCTGGGACAGATGTTGTGGTATAGGAGGTTAAACTTTGACTTGGGACATCTGCATCCTGTATCATAATGCCACTTGGAGTCCCAGCTACTCTACTTCTCATCCAGCTTCCTGTGAATGCATCCTGAGAGGCAGTAGGTGATGGCTCAAGTACTTGGGCCAGTTCCGTCTCATGGGAGACCTGGTTGGTCCTTGCTTTGGTCTGCCTCATTCCTGGCTGTTATGGTTATTTGGGGGTGAACCAACAGATGGAAGATCGCTCTCTCTCTTTGTCTTTCTCATTCTGCCTTTAAAGTAGATGAAAATAAATATTTCTAAAAAGATAAAGCTTTATAGTTATGATGAAACTAAAACATTGCTTTATTGTAGTGAGAAAAGTCAACTTTGCTACTTATTCAGATTTTTGTATTTTTAGTTCCACTGACAGTTTGTTTTACAGTGAAAAGCAAGACATTAATTACTTACTATGTAGTTGAGGTATGTGTTTCTCCTAAAAGTTTAGATGCCTGCATCCCATTTTGGACTGCCTCGGTGGTCAGTACTTGACTCTGGCTCCTGACTCCAGCTGCCTGCTATTGCAGACCCTGGGGGGCAGAGAGAATGGCTCAAGTAAAGGATTCATGATGCCACCTAGGTGAGAAATTTGAATTGTGTTCCTGGCTCCTATTTCCAGCCTTGGCCATTGTGGGCATTTGGGTAGTGAATCAGATAATGGGGTCTTTCCCTCTCTCCCTCTCTAATGGAAAAAAAAAAAAAAGAAGACAGTTTAAAAAATATATTTTGGGGAAGTCATTTGGACTGACAGTTTAGATGCTGAATAGATGGCTGCATCTCGTATCAGAGTACCTGGGTTTCTATACCTGGCTCTGGCTCCTGACTCTAGTTTACTGCTCATGCTTACACTGGGAGACAGCAGCGATGGCTCAAGGAATTAAGATAGGTTACTACCATCCACATGGGAGATTTGGAATGAGTCCCTGTTTCCTGACTTCATCCTGACTATTGCAGATATTGGTGAAATATTGTAAATATTGCAAATATGGTTGAGAAGCTCTCTCTGCCTCTCATAAAAATAAATACATAAAAATAAAATTTAAAAAGTAATATATATTGATATTTGATGTCTGTGTTTTCTTATGTGGTACTTTTTTAATATTACAATTATGTTAGGTTTTAATTTGTAGTAAATTAATAAAACTGTTGTCAGGAAACAATTTGTCCAGATTTAATTGTTTAGCTATATGACAAACATTTTCTTTATGTGCATATCTTTATATAAAAATGCAATCATTGATGAATATTTAATAAAACACAAATATAGCAAAATGTCGGTTGTAGAATCTAGATGATAGAATTGGTAAGTTTGAATATTTTCTTAGTAAATGCAACCTTTAATGAAAATGCTAATGGGAAATAAATATATATTTTGTGTGAATAATAAAATAATAAGAGAGTTCACTTCTTTTATTTTCCACTGACTGAAAAATACAAAGCATTTCTGTTAGTGGAGTACCAATTTTAGAGGTAATACCATTTTAAATGAATAAATTATCTGTTCCTTTTTGATGGCAATTGTTTTGTCCTTAAAAACTGTTAATGTGAACTTTGTAAAGATAGATTAAGAAAATGATAAGGGTTTAAAAATATTTTTGAAGTAAATATAAATTAGAGCAGACAAGGGTTTAGCAACTATTTAGAACTTTTATTCTTCTATTTTAGGGAATCTGCAAACATCAAAGCTGGATTAGAACATCTGGTAAGTTCTAATTTTCTCTTGAACATTTGCATCATCTTTGATATCTGCATTCTAAATGAACACTTTTGAATGAGCTTTGAATACCTTGTATTGAGAAAGTCAACCATTTCCCAAAGGGTCAGCTTACTGTTATTATGTGAAGGCACTTACATTTTCATTTATCTTATCATTTCAAGGGAATTTAAAATTTTTTTTAAATTACTTTTTTTTGATGTAGAGATGAAATAAACTGAATGACAATCCTTGGATTGATGATTGCTTTAATTATAAACAAAAATTGTTTGGTGTAGATTTTTGGCATATCTTGATCTGACGCAAACAAGCTTGTGTTTTAAGAGAAACACAATCAAATATTGCATGCATAAATATGGTATGTTTTAGCAATTTAACAGCTTTGAAAGAAGTGCACAGCTTTGTTTTTCCTGATGTCTTTGCCTTATGAATAATACATTGATTTAAACTACATTCAGTTTTAGAATATGAAATAATTGATATGCAAAATTTTGGCTTTAAGTAAACATTTTTAAAGAACAAGTGAAATTCAAACTGATTTAGCATTAATATCTGTCTATTGATCAAAAAATTGGAAAAACCATAGTATTATCACAGGTCTGAAATTCATTGAGCTCACTGAATAGAGTGTTCATTACAGCATTAAGTAGTTCATTTAAACAGAGCATTATAAAATCATGCTCTGGTTTCTGGTCAAATCTCAATGTTGAATAATTAATGGTAGATATTCTTTTGTAAATACAGTCTAAGTACTTTTTTAATGCAAGACTTCATTCGTAGAGCATACTGTGGCTTTGTTAACTATTAATGTGCTTTTGTTCTCCTTCCTCAAAAGCACCAGTAGCAAGAGACAGCTTCATTTTGACTTACAGAAGTTTTAGAGTTGGAAGGGATTTTTGGTTTTCCTTTGAATAGTTCAAGGAAACTAAGTAAACCCAGACTTTGAAAACCAATCCTAAAAATGACAGATTAATTATTAATAACCTAGTTAAAAATTTGAACTATGTGTCAGGATTAGAAATAAGTGAATAACATTGTTATTTTTAACATTAAAAGGCATTTCATGAACCCCTAATTTTTTATCTACTTCATGATGATATATTAAGACATAAGGCCATCAGAGTAAAGATGTTAATCTGAGGTATCACATTGCAATTTCAATTAGACTTATAACAAGGAAGAATGGATATGATAGTGTCTAAATGAGCTTTTAATACTTCTGAAAATAAGACTTTTTAATATTATAATTATTTACATTTACTTTGTTAGGAAATCCAATAATGGATTTGATTTCTCTCAAGTTTAAATTTCATATTATTTATGTTTACCTGGTAGGATTTCATTTTCAGTGACTATTTCACCCATTTATACTGATCATCTTATGTAGCAATCAATTTCTAAGTGTACTTTTGGCGGTCAAGAAGGCTCCCCACAGCAGGTGATACTTTAGATTTCCACTGCCCAGTTTACCCAAAGTAGTTCTACTTTCAGTTATTTTGTGCTGGAAACTTCTGAACACTTTATCCAGTGTTCAAATAAGGTAAAGTTTTCTAGCTAAAAATATTTTAAAACCTTTGATACAGCATAATCACTTATTCAAGTCAAGAATAATTATCAAGTATTCTTTTAATAATTCTTCTCTAATGATACTCTTCTGTTTGTGACCCTAACCTATGTTTCACTTTTATCTGAGGTATGTATATCAAATGTATTTCAGAGATAAGCATTTTAGAGTTGAGACAGTCAGGATTAGCATATAGTTAGACAGGGAGAGTCAATGGATTTTTAATGGATTTTATGTAAGTTTTTTGAGATAGTCTGTAACTTGACATTGTTATTAACCTACTAACTTTGAACTACTAGCAATATATTCATCTCTATATCTGTCTGTCTACCTATCCTTCTTTGTGTATTCATAATATTCAGTAAAGCCAGTGATATTCTTCATAACCTAAGAATTGTGCCCAAGAAGGAGATGTACTCAATTCTTTATGGATTGAGCATTAAAGAACCTGTTTTTTGCAGACCTTGTGGCCTCCTTTATTTTGTGTATCTCTCCTTTCCCACTGAGCAAATATCTAGAACCCTTGCTTCTGGCACATGTAGCCCTTCTTTGAATTTGCTTTATAGCCAAAATTCAACCAGATGTCTAGCTTCTAATAGATTGATTTTTAAAATGTATGATATAGAATACTAAAGTGAGAAGAACATCTCTCACATTGGGAATTAATCTCTTTTTTATGTACCCTTTTTTCTTCTTTGTCTTTTCCAAATTAATTTTGATTAACAGAAAATGAGCATTATTATCAGAAAGGATAAAAATTAATATAAAGTTAAATAAGAAAGGGACTAACATCACAGTGCAGTGGGTTAAGCTTCCACCTGTGACACTAGCATCCCGTATTACATTACTGGTTCAAGTCTCAGTTAATCTCCTTCCTTCCTCTCAGTGTGCCTGGGAAGCCAGAAAAAAGATGGCCCTAATACTTGCATCTCTGCTATCCACAAGGGAAACCAGGATGGAGTTCCTGGCTCCTGACTTTAGCCCAGAACTGCTTCTTGTGGTCATCTGGGGGTGAACCAGTGGATGAAAGTCCACTCTCTTTCTCTTTCTCTCTCTCTCTCTTTCTCTCTTTCTCTCTCTGCCTTAAAAATAGGTTAAGAGAAATTACACATGAATCTTGTTCTACTTTTCACAAGAAAACACATAGTTGCACTATCTTTCGGGTTTTGAGTTTTTCTTGTTATATGGTTGTATAGAACCCCAGAAAGGAAAAACTGTTGTATTTGGAAAAAAGAATGGGATTCCCTTGGAACCTCTTTGAGGACTGATTTCCTTTACTTAAGTCTTTTACAACCTCTCAGGTACTTGTTCGATCATTATTCTATCATTCCTTTCTTTCTATGTTGCCAGCTTTTCTTCAGAACTGTTTAGCATGGCATTCTTTTTGGCTTAAATTTACTATAACCTACTACACTTTTTCTTTTCATGAACTTGTCCACTACCCATCAATCCTATGCCTGGTTAAGTTCTAGACAGAGTTTTAAAGGTTGTTTCTCTATGATCTATTGCCAATTCTTGTTTGATGATTGGGAAATGGAGATTTTCCAATTCTACCAATCCTTCCATATTTACAGTTACCATTCTTTTTTTTTTAATTTTTTTTTTTTTTGACAAGCAGAATTAGACAGTGAGAGAGACAGACAGAGAGAAAGGTCTTCCTTCCATTGGCTCACCCCACAAATGGCCGCTGTGGCTGCCATGCTGCGCTGATCTGAAGCCAAGAGCCGGGTGCTTCCTCCTGGTCTCCCATGCGGGTGCAGGGCCCAAGGACATGGGCCATCCTCCACTGCCTTCCCGGGCCACAGCAGAGAGCTGGACTAGAAGAGAAGCAACCAGGACAGAACCAGCACCCCAACCAGGACTAGAACCCGGAGTACCAGCGCTGCAGGCGGAAGATTAGCCTAGTGAGCTGCGGCGCCAGCCCACTGTCACCATTCTACCATAAGGAACAACCCACCTTTATTTTAATATAATCTATTTATTATTAGTAAGGATTCATGTATTTTATTTTATTAAATAGACTTTCATGAATTACTATTTTTTTTTCATTTATTTTGATGCTCAGATTGTCCTAGATTTATTTGGAGAGAATACTTTTAAGGTGATTTCTGAATTCTTTTGACATACCTTCTTATTAGCTTTTCTTTCTTGTATTTTTTGTAAGTATTTATTTCTTTATTGTTGTATGACAAGATTTTCCACACTCCTCTTATATGTTCCCTCAACCAAATTACAATCTATCATTTCCTCAAGTTACCCTGTTTCATTATATAGAGAAGTAGTATTTAGAAATTAAATTCTGGACATATGCTATTGTGTTCTTTGTTTCTGGGATTTTATTACTTTAGCAACTTTTAGTCCAACTTAAGTAGGTAAGCAGGTACATAGATAGATAGATAGATAGATAGATAGATATTTTAAGAAAGCACAAGACCTACTAAAATTTTCAGTTCCAATCCAAATTACGAATTTTTTCCTTATTACCCTCCACATTACATTTGTATTCCCTTATTCAGAGTGGGAACTCTGACTCCCTACAGCACCAATACATGTACTCGTTTAATCAGTCATATAATGCATATAAAATAGTTTCAGAATTGCTAAAAGCATATCTTGTGAAAGACAAACCCACAAATTGTTAGAGATTTATTTGCAGTTACTCCCCATCCACCCATGGAATATAGTTATGTTACACATTTGAAAAATAGTTGCAGTCATTTGTTTCTGTTTACATTCAGTTTAGGTGCTTTTGTCCCTGTTCTTTCTGATTTAATTATATTTCTAGATATGTATGGTATTAGCTTGCTTTCAGAAGTCAGAAATCTGTGCTGGCGCTGTGGCATAGCGGGTAAAGCTGCCGCCTGCAGTGCCAGCATCCCATATGGGCACCGGTTCGAGTCCCAGCTGCTCCACTTCCCTTCTCCTGTGGCCTGGGAAAGCAGTAGAAGATGGTCCATGTCCTTGGGCCCCTGCATCCACGTGAGAGGCCTGGAGGAAGCTCCTAGATCCTGGCTTTGGGCTCAACTCTGGCTGTTATGGCCATTTGGGGAGTGAACTAGCAGATGGAAGATCTCTCTCTCTCTTTCCCTACCTCTCCCTCTCCCTCTCCCTCTCCCTCTCCCTCTCCCTCTCCCTCTCCCTCTCCCTCTACCTCTCTGTAACTCTTTCAAGTAAATAAATAAATCTTACAAAAACAAAAGAAGTAAAAAATCTACATGTTACTCTCAGAGAGGTGTGTCAATTTCTAGCCTACTTTCCTTTTCTCTTATAGCCATTCAGTTGTATTGAATTCTGATTTATACTTCCAGGGCTTTAATTTTTATATATTCACAATCACTTGTGTGTAGATGCCTATATCCATTTTTTCTTATCCATGATAGAGAGCATATTGTATTCACTGTTTTGTATTTATGCTTATCTTTTT